CGATATGTGGCCCAAGGTGTGGAAAAACGACCCGGCGCGACCTGGCGTGATTCACGAATTAGGAATCACGCCAGATCGCTCCGCCAACAACCCAAGCCCACAYCAGCGCGYGCGACCACAACGCCCCGGACTCGGTCGAAAATTCCAAAAACCATCATAAATTCGTGATATGATCATGAAAAAATCTTAAAAAGCTTCTTTTTGAAAACCTTCAGACTSTCAATATTTCTCACTTCTAAATTYAAAGAGTTCCAGAACTCTAATCTTTCAACGGCTTGTTGTGATTTGTATTTTTTTCTACTGCCGCCAGTCAAGAACATAAAGATACCGACTGATGATTTTAAATTATTTTCTTTTGAAAGAGTGTAACAAGTAAAAGTAGTACTCGCAAAGAGATCAACAATTAGATCATTGAGGGAGAGTGGCCGGGAGTTGCGGGAAGTTTTGCTGCACGTGATGGTTTTTGTAACRCCCCCTGCGCGCATTTTTCTGTTTGCTMGATATTTCTTTTCTGKAAAGGAGAGGTTGYGYGATATTTTTTTATAGGCTAAGTGCTTGCTCTATATTTTTTTTAGGGATTTACGCTACCCCTTCCCCCCTATATTGCAGTAATCTAATGGCCCACTGGTCAGGTGAGATATATATAAAAAAAACACAATAAATAGATATTTATTAGGCATAGACATAACTGACACATGCTATGGAAACGAGATTTAATTCCAGACATTGAGTGTGTTGAACCGTCGTATGGCACGCATACTCAACCCTTTCCATGTGGAATGCGTTTAGTAAAGTTTTCTAAACAGAACKTGCATCATAGTAAACTTGATCCATTACAAAGTTTATTTGCTATGGAAACATGATTTTGGAATTTTTACTTTTTGATTTAAGGAAGGACCATACTTCCAGACATCGAATGCTGAACCGTCGTATGGCAGCGCGAAGCATTTACGGCTACGCCGGAGATTTCGGCCCCGACACCGCTATCCGAAGATTTACAGACTGATCAGGAAGCTCGGCSGAAGCCTAAGGGAGAGGTTAGTCGGCCCCTAGACCATAGATGATTAACCCCTTGCTATGACCAGCAAACTTAAAGTTCTTGATAGTGACTCTGATGGGTTTGAATGCATATTCACTCCTTTCCATGTGGGATGCGTTTATGAAAACTCTCTAAACAATGTGGATCATAGTAAAATAGACCTCGTATGTATATTTCAAAAAACGTTGTCATCGCCAAAGGCGATAGGCAATTGGCGATAGGCGAAAAGCGATAGGATATATGTCATTCCAAGATCCAAGAATAGCTGGAATGACTTGTGTTTCTKCTTCTTCTTCTCGTCAAGAGCATGGACCTTCGTGCTGAGACTGATTCAATGTTCTTTGTATTCAACGAAACCATTTCCATGTCGGAATGATGACAACGTTTTTTGAATTAGCTGTATAGGGTGACAAGAATAGAAAGCAAGAATAGGGTTTCGTGTAATTTTTTTTTACTAGTTCAGGTACTTACTGCATGACCACAACGAGACGAACGAGTACGAGACATTAACGCGCGAGCTATTTCATCCTCGCCCTCGTATACTTAGCCTGCGGCGCAGACGTTTTTAGCACGTGTCGGCTCGTTCCTTCCCCTCCCCACAAACGCTCGTACTATAATTAGAAATACATTCATTTCAACATGGACAAGGATCTTATCTTTTTTCACGACAAGGTGAACCGAAAAAACTGGTGAAAGCACTGGAAAATATAAATGAGGTAGACAGCTATGATAATGACTTAAGCCTTTTCTCATGAAGTATAATATATAAATCCCCCAATCTAACACCAACCCTTTAATTTTATTTACACTTCGCGTTCAACACTACGAAGTTTCCAACAAAAAGAAAGAAAGAGAAGACGTYATAGGTCACGTCAATACTGACGCTAGCAATTTTGTCACGCAACGATGTCATGGAATTACGCTGATCAGTGAGAGCGCAGGCGATATTAGTTACAAACAGTCACGCAATCATCAGGTAATTCGAGCCACTTTGACATCAAGGTTCGAAACCTACTTTCGGRGGCTTGAAGCTCCCCTCATTGCTTTTCTTCTAAGCTATCTTACAGCTTAAAAAAACCTAATTTGTTTTTAAAACGARGCAATGAGTGTTATACTTCGCATTTCTGTCGGAAAACACCTCACACGAGCTTCAAAATTATTTGCAAATCAAACATGGCGTCCATATTCTACGACGTCATCCAAGGTAAGCTTTTGRTTCTTGGTAAATGTTGTTCGATTCTTGCCCTTGCAAGTCCAAAAAATTCTTGCATGATGAAAAAGAAAGTATAAATTTTACAGAGAATATATTTTATTTATCATAATCGTGATAGCGAGGATTAAAACAGAGCTCGAATATGCATYGCAAACTTTCAATTTATAGAATTCATTTTCGTTTCCTGAGGTCATTTAGATATTATAAATAAAGTATAGGAGTTTTGTCAAGTTTTGCTTAAATATGTAGAAATAAATCCAGGAATTCATTTTTCCAGAGAAGGGGTAATCGACCGGTCCCATAACGTATTAACGTATTGTATAGCTTCATTCTTCATATCTTGGGATCTTTTGTTGTTTCTATCATGTAAACTGTAGAYGTGTCCAGTACCTGGAGAAGGAGCTGGGGAATTGGGTAACCCCCCTCCTCCCTTCRCCCTTAATTTGTGTCCCGTAAGACATTTATTTTGGCTTATTAATATCCCTATATGACCTCAGTCTATGCATGTATCCCACACAGCTAGCTCCAGCAGCCGCAGAGCTGAAGGGCACCTTGCAATCAATCCTTGGAGACAAAAATGTCTCCTCTGCAATGGCTGTAAGAGAACAACATGGCAGAGATGAATCGTATCATGAGTGCCACCCAGCAGATTTGGTTGTATTTCCAGCCAATAAAGAAGAAGTCAGTGAAGTTGCTAAACTGTGCTATTCRAATGATGTCCCTATGGTAGCCTATGGGACAGGGACTGGCTTGGAAGGTGGCATTGTAGCCTTAAAGGTAAATATATACTCCAGCTTCAAGTTCTCAGTTGCCTCAATTTTGTATAGAATATACTCACTTTTCCAGTGAAGGTTTGTGGAATTTGTAGTGAATTGTATTATTGAAGTTGTGCATTTTTCACCCTTGATATTTCTGAATATTTCTGACATCAAAATGATCCAGGCAAACCCTGAGTAAATAACCCTGTAATCAAGGAATACAGTGGTATTGTGTTCAAAAATGGTAGCCTATTAATGTGACGGATCGAGATCTTACACCGGTTCGTTGGACGACTTGATGAAGTTTACAAAAACAACAACACGTGACACAAGGTTTGGGACAGAACTGAATTTATTTAGCGTGCTTCGACTTGACAGACATGTGAACACTTCCAATTATGGGCATCAAGACTAAATACGACACAAATGACAGCTTGTAAGATAAATGACAAGTACACATACATTATAAACACAGAAGGCAAACCCGCCGACTGAATTCACATAGCGCTAAACTGCACTAAAACCTCATGTCTCAAGACTTGAAATTAGCTAAGGAAGCTTCTGTCTTGTCTAAATATACTGATATTTATGTTAAAACAATACAAACTCAAACACATTCTGGATCTTTCACATCAGTTCGCACTGTCACATTAATGCCTTTTTATCAATTTTGCATCTCGTGTTAAAGTTTTCCTAATTGTTTCAGTTCTCGTGCTGATTGCCTTTACAGTAGAACTATGTGTGCAAAAATTATTTATTTATTTTATTAAACTAGAAATTTTATTTTTAAACATGAATCTTGGAAAAAAGAAGGGATTCTAGAGGGCAATTTCAAGCGATGTACATGTATTCTACTTGTTATTATTCCAGGCATTAACTTGGGGATTTGATATTCTGATAATTATTTGKTGTCCTTATAAATATAGGGAGGTGTGTGTATTGACTTGGGAAGAATGGATCAGATTGTTAATGTGAATGAAGAAGACTTTGATGCTACRGTTCAACCTGGAGTAACGAGGGAAAAACTCAATGAATACATCAGAGATACTGGTCTGTGGTTCCCAGTAGGTAAGATCAAAGTGTCTTATATTACTGACTATAATTTGTGGTTTCCAGCTTCTCGAGTGTTCTCCCAACATCCCAAGTGTTTTGATCAGAGTATCAAACACGGAAAACTGTTTTTGATTTGYTTTATAAAATAACAAATGTGTGAAAAGATGGAAGAAACCGAAAGCCTAAGTAAGTTCTCCGTACATGCTGTCTTTTTCAAACTGACCAATRAGCACGTGTGATAGAATAAAATCTGACAGTTGCAATATACTAGTGCGCACTAAAATGATGATATATGTAGCATGTTTTGATACTCTCATCAAACATGGTTTTCGACCAATCATAGTGAGCGTAGTATCCCAATTATTTTATTTATATATTTATAAAATATTTGAGATATAACGCACACTCTGATTGACTGGCTATGGTGTTTAAATATCAGAGGACAGAGACATGTTTGCTCAAAACTATTTTATAGTGATATTAAACGGCTGCCTATGCATAAAATACAGCATAATATCATTTTTATCATAGTATATTTTTTTCTAAAACAGAGGTATGCCTTTCTTGCATGTTTTTTAAATGAATATAGATCCAGGTGCAAATGCTTCAATATGTGGAATGTGTGCAACCAGTGCATCAGGAACCAATGCTGTCAGGTAGGTATACTATACAGTAGATTAACACATTGAGAGCATGAGGAACTGTTTGGGTTTGCTTTGGTTGATTTGGCCAAGGGGGATTAGTAACTAGGCTATCATCCCCAGGGTATGGGCCTAGAATGTGAAGGACTCAATTTAAGGAATACATCCATTACTACACCTATAGCTGTTCATTAGAACATTCATTACTAGAAAAGCAAATATTTACTATTACTGCAAAATTGATTATCATAAACATGAAGGTGCCATCATTTTAGTCAACTCAAGACAAACTCATATGAATGTTAGTATTGCATGTTCATTTTATGCATTTTTGCATAGACGAGAAAAGTTTTGAACTTTTGTYCTTCCCCTCAAAATATGACTCCATGGATAATACATAAGCTATTAGGACAAGGAAAAGAAAACCAAATAAACTCA